TTATGACTATGAGTGAATTCAGAAACTCAATATCGCTATATTATGTTGCTCTCTTCGGCCACCTAGGCAGTTACCCAGTTTCCTGTTCCTCTGACTGCACTACTAAGTTTTTTAATAAATTAAATGCATATCATATTAAACCTCATTCATTAAAAAGGGCTTTAATAGACAACAGTATATAAAATCAATATGTTACTAATGCATACACTTACTTGACTCCTTGTATCCTCATCAATTATTGTCATAATTAAGATATTCAACTGAGTGTCCCAGTCCTAGCTTACAATAGCATATATGAGAATGCCCACATTGAAATATGGATGAATCTGCCTGTAATGATGAGCTTCTCCCACCAATTTTCAGTTCCATAAAGTTATAATTACTAACAGGCATCCAGGGTATACATAAGATTATGATCTACCTCCAAGCAGGTGCTATGATGACATACAGTATCTAACCTTGCTGGAAGATACTGCAGCCTGTGCCTGTAGGACAGAGCGCATCAGAGATTGACATTAACATATTTGCAAAGAGTAACAATCTGTTTATCAGTTGTTTCCGACTACCAAGACATTCACAGACGCTCAATGACTGCCCAACACTGGTGTGTCAGGGCCTTAATACATTAGTCAAAACAACTCCACTGCTTTCCCCGTGATAAACCTCCAGGCAAATGTATTTCTTTATATAGAGAAAAGTGGCTGTGGCAGTGTGCTGATTGCAGATAGCAGGCACATGCATGTCAATTTAGAATGATTCACATTCACTGACTGATGCACGGTGGTATGAACAAAATGGGCCAGTGCCCACGTGTCATAAATCCAACGGTAATTTTGTGTGCATACTTTTTTTACGTGCAGAGTAGGAATAATCTGCTCACATATAAATGAATGAGGTGCAATATATCTTCTATTTTTTATTAATATATTCTGAGTTTTGTAGACTTTTAGTAAAGAAAAAATAATTTTCACTTGATGGTAAGTTGAGTAAAAGCACTGGACTATACACATAGATTGTGGTCATAATCACTCCCAGCAGCCATGTGTTCTCTAAAGAGCTTTATTTAAAGACTTATCTTAAATTAATACGTCAGATAACACTCTGTACTCTAGGAGATTGCTGTCACGACCGTTTTCAGAGCCACAGTTGCTTTCTTCCTTGACACAAAATACTTCCAGATGAGCGTGTCATTATTACTTCAAGTCTCCAAATTACTCCCTCTGTCCTGTTTTTCACTTCACCATGTTTGTCTGTCTCTGTGTTTCCGTAGCCGTACAGCTTGACTGCAGGTTGTTTTATGATAATAATGACATGATAAAACCCCGGCACAACATGCTTTTAAAAACAGACTTACAAATAGCGTGCTAATAAAATGCCATGGCTCATCTGGGTGAACCCCTTCAAATTTTAGTCTTATCATAAAAAAATGTGTGTGTGAGACGGGAGGGATTTCACACAGCAGGGTGCAGTGATAATAGCATGTGAGGTTCAAACACAACGTGTTGAAGAAGTGCGTTAACTTCATAAGAAAGAGCCATGTGTGGAGCTTCACCAAACTAAATGGGGCACTTAATGAACTTGGCATGGATCTGGAGGGGTAAGGTGAAAGGGAAGGCTGGGTTGGATGATCTCCTCGTCTATGCGTGTTTCGATTTCTCATTGCACCCTCAGTTGGCGATGATTTTTCTCCAAATATGGAAAGTTAGCCCCAGGAATACGCTTTTTCATAAAGGCCGATCAAAGAAAAACTGAATGAGAGACTGCATTGAATTACAGATTCTAGTGGAGAAGAGGCTATTCTGCTCTCTGTCATGAGTGGACTGAGTGTTTCTGTAGTTCCAACAACTCCAACTGTGTGATAGGTTTTTTTCTTTTGTCGCTTGTGTCACGTCATTTCCATGCATTGGACCTTTCCAGTTAAACTTTCATTTATATAGTCTAAGATAAGAGACTTAATGTATTTAAACCAGGACCTCCAGTATTTAGATTAAGTAGCTTGTGAAAAATGTTTGTCAGATTTAGTAGCCACAGCTGTTATTTTAATGTGTCTGAAGCAAGCAGAATTGTGTATTTTAAGCCTAACTATAACCAAGTGGTTTTGTGCCTAAACATAACCACACACTAACCAGAGCACTGTCAAAATGTGAAGTTTCAACATATCTGCTACATGTTAATGTACAAATGACACATATCCATGATTTGCAGAATGCATGCCATCATTTATTCTGGCGACTGGGTTGCATCAGGTGCTGGCTCAACTTTTATTTACCTAAGCCGCACATTGTCAGGCCAGCTGTCAGCATCAGCTTCACTTAGCCAGCCTTAGCTGTATTTAGACTTTGCTTTGGCTTTAGCTTAATGCTAAAATGTACATGCTAACTGTCTCTCACTAGATGAACTTATTAGAATTTGACTCTAATGACAAGGTACCTGTGACTGAGACCACATCGGCTGAACTATGCTGTTGTTGGGAACTGCTGCCTCCAATTTTCTCATCTCCAGTGTTCTTATCTCTTTCATCACAAGCCAGAAATAATAGCAGGCATTAATTTAATTATGGTAGAAGAGTGATATTGCAGGAGGCACATTTCTAGCGATGGATCTTGGTGTGATCACTTCCCTCACACACTGTATCATGACCTCTGTGCCAGTTTGACTGAACAAATTGTTGTTTATAGCCAACTTCCAGAGTCTAGACTGTACACATAATATCACATTAGCGCTCACTGCTTCACAACTCTCACTTTTCAGTCTTGTACAGTATGTGATCGGCACTGGTTTTAGAATCTAGAAATACAGTGTGTACCCTCAAAGTAGATTCAATGAAACAAAACCAGATTCTAAAAATAAACAAGGAAAGTGAATGCTCTGTGAATCACTTGTATGGAACACTTGAGTTGTGGTGTGGTTTGGAGTTGTTACAGACATACTGACAGCAGGAGAGGCCAGAGAGGGAGACACCTCCAGTCGGTCATATGGCACACACACACGCACACACACTAATCAGCTGTCCTTCACTTTTGCATCTGCAATGGCAATTACTGAAAAACAATAAGCTGGCAAAAAGGACTCATGGTCGAAATTAATCTACCACAAGTGAAAGGCCAAATAAGATTCCTTCTGGGGCAGAGCTCCTTTTGGATCTATCCGAAGTCCTCCTTAATCTTCTCATAGCTACCGGCTTTAGTGGAGCCATAACCATAACACTGAGTCACTCAACTGTTCATTAGCTTCTGAGAGGAATGTCTGTGTCATGTGTTATGACAGGAGTTAACGAGTGCCAGTATTTTGTGTTTTATTTTCATAACCCTTATTACAAAAGGCTGACAAGTTCATGGACTCATGAGTGCGCACACACACGTTCACATAAAACTAGGAGTTTATATGCAAAGATTTCTCAACACGGAGCAAAACCAATATCTTTAATCAAGTTTACATCTATTGGTTTCAACACTGAACATAATCTCAGTGGTATTTACATGTTTATTTGCATCCACAAGTTAGTCATCAGTCATGGGTGTTTGTCTAAGCTGATCATCCATGCAGTGAATCTGTATGTGTGTTTTCATGTGTGCACATGCCGAGGCTTCTCCGTGTCCATTTGATGTAGCCATGTGGTTTTATTTTTGACAAGTAAAGCATCGCTCTCTGTGGCTTATAGATAACAGTGCCTCTCAATCTCTGTCACGCCTCCCTCTCTGTCTCATTGTAAGGATGGATGTCTTTTTAATGGTGGAGGTGGGAGAAGTAGAGCAGAGCTGAGAACAGGAGCTGATGTTGGAGGGAGAACAAACGCATTAGCCCTGAGAATTCCTGATAGCAGCTATCTCGCCGGGAGGTTTTTCTGTCTGCCTCATGTGATTGGCCTTGAGCTTGCTAGGTGATTTGGCGATGTTCTGTCTTGTGGCATCAGCACTGTTTTTCCATCATTTCTCTTGTCTGTAATTCCACACACCTTTTTATCTCGTCACATTAATCTTGCACTGCTTAACGTCACTGGCTGAGCATTATTCTTGAAAGGTCGCAGGTCAAAGTTTCTTAGTGTTTCATAAAAGTCCTCTATCACCCGGGAAGCCAACACTTACCATAAAGGGAGGAGAGTTTTGTAGCGAGACAGAGATGGATGATCTGGGGTTGTTCGTGTGGAGAGCAGGTGTTGTCTAGAGGAAAGAGCCTGCTGGGTGTTGTCTATGTGTATGTGTTTGGGTGTGTGTGTCCAACAGAGACCCATGTGAGGCAACATGCATGCAAGAGGCCAGGCCACAGGCCAGAGGAAATAACTTTTGAGATCAGTTATGTCCTGAACTGGCCTGGTTTATAACCAAAGGTGTGCTGCTGTCGTCCACTTGAGCAAAACAAACTGCGAAACCTACATGTGTTTCTGTTTACCTGTGACATCTGTTGTAGGGAATTAGTCATAAAAAGCACTTAAAACATTTACGTAACTGGCATTCTGCTTAGTAACAAAGCACGCATCGTGAAAACAGTTAACATTTTTAGTAAAATGTTAAAGCAATTACGAAATTGACACGGATAAACATTCTTCTGTTTTTTTCTAGTTAGGTTTGCATAGTATTCAGATGATGTCAAATTAAAAAGTAAAAGATGAGAAATAATCTATTGCTTTATGCATCTTAATCACATTTTTTGTTACTTAAAACTGAAACCTGTAACTATCCATTTGTTGCCTCCTTTTTCATCTATAGAGCGTAATTGTGATGACTTTTGAACAATAAAGTAAAGGTTATTGAATTGTCATAGCAGGTTTTGAGGAAGCCTGCTATTTATTTGAGTCAGCCTTTGCGAAGACTTAAAAAATGTGTCATGTATACATAGTGTGACATGCATCAATGCCAGTGTACTGGCTCTGTTTTGAACCATGCTTTATGGCATTGTCTACCAACACAAGTGTTGTGGTTTGTATCTCGCTGCTTTTATTTTGATAGTATGTTCCGGTTGTGTGTGGTTGTTTGGGTAACTTGACTTTTGTTCATCCAGAGGCACCCTTCCCACCTGCTGCATCGAGGAGTGATTGGACTCACCTGTTTCTGCTTTGCCAATCAAGCCGCCTACTTTAAGCCTGCTGAGACACTCCTCGACGCCAGAGTAAACAGAGAACCTCCGTGGTATCAGCTTGGCTCCCATTTGGTAACATAGTGAATTTTCTCTTGTGCATTATGGTGAGTTTTTGTAACCATGTCTCTCCTCCGTCTTTTTCAGTGCCTCCCGTGCCCTCACAGCCCAGCACTCTCTGGACGTCTTTTGTGTTCTTTTTGAAGGACTCTAGCAATTTTGATTTTTTGTGGATTCACTCACCCCTTTGTTAAATAAATCATTGTTCTAACCTGCTCCGTTTCCACTCCTGGGTTCCCTCTCTGCACCACACGTCACAACAAGTGCAACTTGACAAGCTGAGCAATGTCTCCCAATATTAAAGAGTGCAGCTAGTCTCAAGCCAGTTGAATATAATAATGCATGAATAAAATAAATGTGTGACTCTAGTTACCAATCATTCCATATTCAGTATCTGGTCCTTGTTGATTAATCAGGTCCATCCAGTCCACATGCTGCTGTTTTATCAAAACAAAATGTGAAAGTTTTTCCTCAATCTTTGTTCTTCTTGCTTCCACTCTTGCTGCAAACTGTACAGCGGTTATGTGGAAAGAAATATGGACTGTTTGTAGTGTTTCTTTGTAATCCAACTTTTCTGAAAGCTCCTCCATCAGTATGCTCTTCAACACATGTCGGACCTTTGGCTATTTTTGTATTTTCCTATTTGCATTGTATTTCTCTACGTTTTGCTGAAAGATATTTCTATTACAAATAATGTGTGGATATCAGCTATAAATTTCATGATTTCTGATGCAGGCTTAAGTAGTCCTAATTTTAAAGTAATTTCCCCACATTAAAATAGTGTGAACAATAGTGGAAAAGGTAACTCAACTGGTTAGTGAGCAAAAGCATCTGCCAAGTGAATAAAAGCAAACATTTAGAATGAGGAGCCCTAGTCATTGGCTTTTTTTTTTACCAAGAGTGCAAGAGGTGCAATGACCCTATCTAGAGGTCAGAGGAAAGCCATGACATTTTGATTACAAAATAATTGTTTTTTTTTTTTTTTCAAATTCATGAATTTATAATGATTTATTATGATCTATTTATCCACCAAAGCCGTACAAAGTGCGTCCCTGCCTCGACAGCAGTCATAGTCTTCTCAGCATGCTCAGTGTAGTTAGGTGACAGCGTCACAGATCACGTTCTCCAGGAAGACCTTCAACACACTGCAGTTTTTCCTGTAGAACAGACCGGAGATAAACTTCACTCCACCAAGGTGAGCCAGACGGTGGATCACAGGCTTGGTGATTCATGGTGACAGTTGGCATCCTGAGTCCTTTTCCTTCTTTGCCTCTGCCATTAAACTCTTGATTAGTCACTGTTCAATAGACCGCTTCTTCATTAAACCTTTTTTATTTTCAAGTTATTTTATTTGAGGTGTTTTATTGCCTTTTAAATGTAATCTATATGGCTATTTAAAACATGTCCGGTAGTTGTTCTGCATAAATTCTGGAATAGCTAAATTCCGTCAGAAAAAGAGTTTAGCTAAAACCCTGGAGAAGATGCTATCTCATGTCATGTAGTGATTAATAGAGGTTAATCCAGATTAGCCCTCTTGCCTCAGTGATCATCCACCCCCCTAAAAAAGATTTCAACCTTGCACCCCTAGTCTTTCTGGCATGCTTTTTCCATTAGCAAAAGAGGACATTGTTCCTGTATTTGGGAAGATGACATGCTGAAAGGATGAAAACACTGAATAAACAGTCCTGGCCAAATAGAGGGTGGAGGGGTCTGTTTCACAATGTGCTTTCACTCAGCCCATATCTTGAGTTGCGTGAGAGATTTCCATATCTCACACACTCTTGTAAATCACAATTGAACAGTAGTAACTCAAAGAATGAACTCCAAACACGTCTGCTTTCAATTTGGGCCCAGGGGTCCTGCCAAGGCTGGGGCAGACTCAGAGACCACCCCTCAGCGTAGATTTACTGGCCTCATCACCTCCTAGGACTGCAGGAACGCATGCCCTGCTCCCGTCACAGACAGACACACACCTCACACCTATATAGCGGGGGGTGGGTGAGGTTTAGAAAGGTGTGTGGCAGGGGGAGTTGGGGGGCTTCACATGGTGGAATATTTAGACCCCACAGAAACACACATTGATGGTATGTATTTAGAAAACTGCACACAAAAGTTGAAAATGGTTCAGTATGCAGTTTATTTTTCTTTATTTCATGTCTTACACAAAATTGTTAATATTTTTCATTACATTTGTAGATTTTTAGACTAGAAGTTGTAATACATTTAATTTTCTGCTGTATCATGTGACTAAAAAAATCAGTTCTTGGTTGCACTGTGCATGTTCCAAAATGCTGGCTATAGCTGATCTTTAAAATTACACAATTCATGTAAGTCAAAGAGTTATATTCTCTCTCCGGCCTGATGCTGGCCTTACTCAGCAATTGGACACACCAGTTGACATTCTGGAGATTAAATACTCCCCAGTTTACTGACTGTGTGATCCTGTAACATGGAATGCATGCATGAATCAGTTTCAGAGCTCTTAAATACAGTCTCTGCTGTGTGACTTCTCTGTGGTCACACCACTCACCTGTACTTAAGACTATGGTTGCTCAAAGGTCATAGCTGGGAAGATTACAGTGATGTTGCAAAACCTGCAGAGGTTGAAGAAGGCTGTCTGTTGAATCCAACTCACTGTGGTGCTTTGTGTGACAGTGTGGGTTGCCATATCCCGTGAGGGTGGTCTTGCAATTGCGGTGTGTACAAACAGTTAGCACAGTGTTCTGTTAGGGCTTCTTTAAAAGGGCAGGATGAAAGTTTGGGTGCAGAAAAACATGCAGATGATTGTGTCACAAATGGCCATTTGATGCGCATCAGCAGGATGTGTAAACAGGACAACATCAAAATCATCTTTTTGTTAGCATTGTCAAATCAATCAGATGACTAGTTGAAGAACTTTGACCGAGACAGTAGCACTAATGGTCTTACCCAGCTCATTTCAAGGGAAGAATTCAGTTTAAAAACAATGAATCTTTAGCATCATGTCTTCAAGCTGAATTCAGTGTATTGAATGACAAGTATCACTGACTGAATCAGTAGATTTTAGCATTGCAGCTTCCCTCACTACTGATCAAAAGTGTCATTGTCAGCTCAGTCATCATGGACAGTATATTTATTCCTTTATTGAAAGGCTGTGTAGTCTACCGAGATAATCATGATGCAGGTTCATCCTAGTGGCCAAGGGGTTAAAGTGCTGACGATGAACCTCAGTGTGCCTGCATCTGATTGGGGACCTTGTTCTCTCCCCACATTTCCATTTCTGTCTCTACTATAAGCTATGTAAAAAAAGTTATGATGCAATAACTATTTCGCAGATATGTGTTTGCTGAGCTATTAACCCTTAGAAACTGTGCTTATATAGGCTTAGTTTTGTATTGAACTGAGTAAAACAGTTTGAACCAACAGAGGACCGAGCTTACTTATAACAATTCAGCATTTCAAACAGTGATACAAATGCTTACAGATGTGAACTTGCTGTGTACATATTGGAATGAGGATGCGATTGCTTAAAGAACGGACCAACTACATAGTCAGTGACTTCACATCTTTGAGTTGAGCTGTAAAAGTACAAATGTTTTTCTACTGCCATGCTGTTGGATGTTTTTGTTGTTGGTACTGTTATTTTCCTGCTTTATTTTAAATGGACCCTGGTGGAGTCTTGAACAAGGCTGAGATCTCATGCTTCAACATCCACGCTTTGACATGAATTCATAGAAAATAGCCCCATCTGTTCAGTGATTGCATACTCATTAAGGACCTCACAGGGATAATGTATCATTGATCTAATTTAGTCATTGGCTGTTTACATAGCAAATTCCAAAGCAGTGAAAGATATCACCAAGTCGTTATAATATTTACTGAAAAGCTGGGGGAAGCAGTTTCATGTTGGCATGACTGGGCAAAAACCCCATAATAAACTTAGAGCATATTGTAATTCAAGTGGACTGAGCGAAAACAAGACATCTGCACCTCCTCTGTTTTCAGGCTTAAGAAAATATAGCCAGTGACAGGAGACTTTGGCTAATCACGGGTCATTTCAGAGCGATGGCATTCCTATGGGCTATTCTAGAAATACAGATGCACATCCCTTTGGTGAAAACCTGACTCAATGGTGGTGAGTCCTGCAGAGAAGGTAGCTAGTCCAGCATTGGCAACAACTGCCTAAACTGCAGAGCAACCCAAAAAAGGAAGATGGATTTAATGAAAAGAGACTCTATAAAAGAGTCTGACAATAAACAAAATGTGTCAATACGGCAAACTGTTTTAGAGATGGAGATAAAAAGTTGATATAAATAGATTAAGCCTTCTTCCCACCCGAGCCAAAGACACCTTGCTAGGAGGAGAGCAGGCCGCAGCAGGCCCAGCTCTGGCAAACAGGGCGGCCCTGACTCCCCACTGGATCGCCAATCTTTCTGCTGCTGCTATTACACAAGTCAGACCCGACACTGCCACTGGCCAACAGCTGCTATAACACCTGACGCTGATGGATCTGGCCAAATTCAAGCCCCTACAGCCACCAACCAGTCGGTCTGTATAGCTGCTGATCGCTCTCCTCCTGGCAATGCAGTCCACAGCAGCAGGGAGAAAACAGAGGGACCGTGTGGTGGCGAGCTCGCAAATTCTTGTCTCATTTGTGGTCTGATAAACAGAGAGAGCAGGGCAGGGACACAATGAGCAAATGCACTGTGGGCAACTCTACAATGAACTAAGATTAAATAAATCAATGTATAGGAAACACTGGGTTACTGTATGAAGCACGTGGATCGTGGTTGCCTGGTGGGAGGGGCACAGGACAGAGAGGGGGAAGCTGCCTTATTTTGTTTGTTTTTTCTGCCTACCCCAGCTTTAATTTCACTTTCTCAGTTGTCCAGTAGTAACACAATGGTGGAATCCTGGCTTGCTCGACAAGTCTAGGGCAGGAACCACAACAATTGTAAGACTAGAAAAAAGAAGGCTGGTTGAGTAAACATAGTTCTGTGGTCTGGTGGAACCACACACCAAGGCCGTGTGGGATGTGAGGAAGGATTGTTAAAGCATCCAGAATAATGCATGTGAGATTATGAACACCACTGTGTTTACTGATCCAGAGATACCCTATAACAGCTTCATCATCGCATGTGGAGGTTTCACAAGTATGTATGTTAACACATTTCTTGGAGCATTTCCCTCTCTTTAAAACTAATGACTGGTTTCTCCATAGTTGACTGTATTACATAAAGACAAGCAGTAATAAAACAAACTCACGCTCTGTCTGTACAGCCATTGAAGGATGGGAGTCTCACATGAAAAAGCATGACAGAATTTTCTAAGAACCTGAATAATCAGCTTACATTGGAGCTAAGTAGGAACAGAGGGTGGTGGACTCGTGTTTGCTTTCCATTTTC